CAGACCTAGTAGATGTGAAAACAGGCAGTGCAGATTAAGATCCATCAATAGACGACTTCCAAGGAACAGAGCTACTGATAACTCACGTTATTATGGAACAGGGTTTACTAGTTCAATATTGAGCAATAGGTACAGCGGTATCTACAGGACCAGCAAACTCTGCTGGAGTGGAAGCTACAGTGCATTGACTTATAGCTGCACTGTAAGGTCAAGACGCGTATCAGTTAATGATGGTGATGAGAGGGTTGATGTGGAGAAAAGAAGTGAAGAGTTTGATGATGATGAGTTTATTGATGATGAAGAGGGAGATGTAAAGGAGGATGAAGCTGGTGAGGAAGAAAAAATGAATGGAGAAGGAGAGGAGTTTGATCATGATGATGAGTTTATTGATGATGAAGAGGGAGATGTAAAGGAGGATGAAGCTGGTGAGGAAGAAGGAGAAATGAATGGAGAAGAAGGAGAAATGAATGGAGAAGAAGGAGAAATGAATGGAGAAGAAGGAGAAATGAATGGAGAAGAAGGAGAAATGAATGGAGAAGAAGGAGAGGAGTTTGACTTACAAGAATAATTATTATTAATGAAACAAGAGATATTTAATTTTTAGATCAAAGTAGCTAGTATGTAGTGCAAAAACATTATTAATAGGCCTTTTCTTTTAGTTTTTTGTGTGCTGTATAAATTTATTACACATCTTTTATTTAGCAATCAGTTCATTGTCTTTTTATGCTAACAAAAAAGTACAAAAACACAAAGATGTTATGTAATCTTGTTCTTCTCAATGTAACTGTTTACAAGTACTCACTCAATATTATGACTTTGATAAATTAGTGGCTTATAAATAAGCTCTAATTACCAACAGAGGAAACAGCTGCTACACAGTGTTTGTTAATTACAAAGAACAAGGCAAAGCTTTGTCTATATACTACTAATCAGGGGCGTATCTAGGAATTGGGAAAGGGGGGTGCTATGGGCGCGCGAAGCGCGCCGCGATTTTGGCCACACCCACTTTTACGGCGGTAAAATGGCCTTTTCCTGCATTTTCGTCAATTACGGGTGGGGCCAAGATCATTTCAAGCATACTGGTACTTCTGATTGCTTCTTAAAGCACTGGAAACTGCTGAAATTATGATCAGGGGGCTAGATAACTTTGTTAAGAGGCTTGGTAGTGATGCAAGAGACTAGCCCTGAGGGGGGTGCTCAAGCCCCCTCAGCCCCCCCTAAATACGCCTCTGTACTTAAAGTGTAGCCAAACTCAAAAAAGATGAGGGCAAACAGTGTAGGCATTGAAAATAATTTGGACTAGAGCACATCAAGTTAGACTAAATAGCTACAAATGAGAAAGGCTGCCGTATGTTTTTAATAAACAAAATAAGCATATAGCTGAAGTAGAGATGACAATACTCTTTATTTAAAAAAATATATGCCTAAACATACCAAAATCTGAAGAATAGCTACCCAAGGCTGTGAAGGCACATGCTTTTCTTCGAAAAAATGGCCAAAAAATTACCCCCATTTTTATTACATTTACTGATACATATTGACGTCTTTATGCCGTGTAGAAAGTTTGAGATGATTCCGACTTAATTTTTTCAAGTTATCGTCATTTTTTTAAAATGGCCAAAATTTGAAAAATACCCAAGGCTATAGCCCATGCTTTTTTCAGAAAAATGGCCAAAAAATGACACCCAATATTTATTACGTTTTCTGATACATATTGACGTCCTTATGCTGTGTAGAAAGTTTGAGATGATTCTAACTTAATTTTTTCAAGTTATCGTCATTTTTAAAAATGGCCAAAATTTGAAAAATACCCAAGGCTATAGCCCATGCTTTTTTCAGAAAAAAGGCTAAAAATGACCCCCAATTTTTATTACATTTTCTGATACATATTGACGTCCTTATGCTGTGTAAAAAGTTTGAGCTGATTCCGACTTAAAATTTTTTAAGTTATGGCCATTTTCAAAGGCCAAAATCTGAAAAATTCCAAAAAGTTGCTAAAAATGACTCCCTATTTTTAATCACCTTTTCCAATACGTAGTGATGTTTTTATGCTATGTAGCTAATTCCAACTAAATTTTTTAAGTTCCATAGCCTTTTTAAAAATATTGATGTCCTTACACTATCTAAAAAGTTGCATTTAAAAATTTCGAACTACAAATTGAAAACTTCACTAAAAATTATACACACAACTAACAACAGCAAAAATAATATAACGTATTTCTGTATAATAATATTAATTTGATTTTCTACTCTTAATTAAGTCAAAGTTTTGTCATATGATTTTCATTTTTTAGACACACCCTCATCTATTGTAAAACAAAAATAAAAACAACATAAATGTTTTAATTTAAGCAAGAGCTAAGGATCTTAATACCTAACTATTATCAGCAGCTACTAAAACAGAATGAGAAGACATGCAGTGATTGTGATTAGATTACACAATGGTATCACGAAGTAACAATGAAAGCACTCGTGTGATTTAAAGTGCACTAGAAAGTAAAATAACTTGACATTATGAATATGAATTGTAGTCAATTGCAATCAAAAGTTTTGTGATCAAACCCAACCCTCCTGAGTGAATGTCTATACCAAAAAACTAGCTGACTTAACATGTACATTAATATAAATTAGATTCACCACTTATGCGTGTATACATGTACTATGTAAGATGACAGTATTCCAACCATTGGTTAGTCATAATGCATGCACAACACGTGCTGAACTGGTATACACAATCTTTAGAAGCCAAAGAGAATAATACTATTATACTAATACTAATAATAATAATAATATACTAACAATTATTAGGCTTGCTAGACATATTGGTTCGCCAAACAAATTGGTTTGTGAGACATATTGGTTTGCCAGACAAACTTGGCTTTCCGAGCATATTGGTTCGCCAAACAAATTGGTTTGCGAGACATATTGGTTTGCCAGACAAACTTGGCTTTCCGAGCATATTGGTTCGCCAAACAAATTGGTTTGCGAGACATATTGGTTTGCCAGACAAACTTGGCACTAATTCAGTGCCTCTCATTCTTTGGGCCCTCACTGATTCATTCAATTTATTTTAATTATAATCAATTTGATATGCTTTGTTTCTGATGGCCCTCCTATCATAGACAGTGTAGTGTCCCATTTTCAATTGCATCAAAGCAAATTCTTCTTGGAGCACAGTAAGATTATCATGAGCCCTTAATCGCAAAGCAATAAGGTCGTATAAACAAACTTGTGATAAGTTTGTATCCCTCATAGTCTAATTGGGCTCCACTAGCAGTTGCTTCTCAAGTGAGTCACTGACTTTTGTGAATGTTATGCAATTATTTGTTTTGCAGTGTTTTAATATTAAAAGTTGAATGAGCTTGGACCTTACTCTATGAATCATTCAAGAAGTGGGTGCAGGTACATGTACAATTAAGAACTTTCTCTCTCTACATCGTTTGTTTCAAAGTTTCTGTTTATCTCTTCTTTGTCTTTACTTTTATTTTTATGTCCTACACTGCTTGAATCAGGCTGATTCCAGTTGAAATTTTAAAGTTATGTATAAGGTATGGTCTTTACTTATTTCTGAAGAATACCCTAGCTGTACTATAGCCCATTATAATTTTTTCTGAAACTACTTTTTCTGATACTATTGTTATCTTCACAATGAGACAAATGAATGCTTGCTCCTGCTCAGAAGCAGCTGTATGTACATCTATATAGAACTGGTACTGAGTTACACAGAGTATCAAAAAGGACGTCAGTCAACAAACTTGGATTCCTTCTTAGTCTCTGCAGTAAGTCAATAAATACATGTACACTAGGATATTCATAAACTTTATAATATTCATAAAATGTGAGTTTTGATTTTCTCCTAAATGCAAATTGAAGTGCTGCAAAAACTGTTGCTGAAGTAGCGAGACACCAAAGGTGCATGAGAAGCAAGTTTCCTGTTTTTTCTTCTAAGCGCAATTATGATGTAATATATAATAGCAAAATTACTTTTGCCTAGATGGATTGAGTGACTTAAAATAGTTTAGGATCCTTAGACAAGTGAGTGAACTGCTGCTACAGCACTTCACTCGGGATGAAATTCGAGTAGCTACAACTGACCAACAAGAAAGATTTAAAGAGTTTCACACATTTGATGAATTGTCTTGATCTACTGGAAAGGAGACTCATTTACCAGGGGCGTATCTAGAAATTGGGAAAGGGCGCGAAGCGCGCCGCGATTTTGGCCACACCCACTTTTACGGCGGTAAAATGGCCTTTTCCTGCATTTTCGTCAATTACGGGTGGGGCCAAGATCATTTCAAGCATACTGCTATGTTACTGGTACTTCTGATTGCTTCTTAAAGCACTGGAAACTGCTGAAATTATGATCAGGGGGCTAGATAACTTTGTTAAGAGGCTTGGTACTTTGGTAGTGATGCAAGAGTCCAGGACTTCAGTAACTTTTTCTGAGCCCAGCCCTGAGGGGGGTGCTCAAGCCCCCTCAGCCCCCCCCTAAATACGCCTCTGTTTACAAAAGATAGAACACAGAATGAAAGACAGACAGTACCTAGCCCTCGCCTACGCAAAGCTGGGCGAGGCCATAGTGGTACAGTCATCACTCATCATCACAAATATCAGTCTATATAAAGACATTGAATCTAGGGAAAGTAGATAATTTTTATCTTAGCCCTTTTCCTGAAACAGCGGGAAAGAGAGAGAGAAACAGAGGAGAAATGAGGTTGCTGCTCACAGCAGTTCTGGTCCTTCTTGCTTGCAGCCTTAATGAAGGAACAAAAGAAGAAACATTCAAGGGAAAAATATCAAAGGAATCACTAAATTCCACGAAAGTATTGCAAAGTAAGTGAAGCACAATTTGCTGGAGCTTGATATTACACTATTGTGCTTGCTATAAGTAATTTAGCAGCAATAGATCTAGATCTTATGCACTTTTATAATGCAGAAAATCCATACAGATTATACTGTTTATTGTTCTCTTTTTATTTATATTTTATATATAGGTGAAAGAGCTAGGATAATAGCTAATGCAATCAATGATGCAAAACAAAGTGCTCAGGAAAAAGAGTCACTGATCCCACAAAGGATCATTGGCCCACTATCAAGTGCAGATCTTTTAGCAGATGGATTCAAGAGGCCATCAAAAGAAGCTGCAGCTCAAGGAAATGCAAGACTCCTCATGGAGGACATGGTGCGCAGAGCAGAGAAGGAACTAGAGAGAGAAAGGATTCCGTTAGCTCAAAACACAGGAGACAGTTTCCGTGAGCCAGGTTCTTTGTTAGAGAATTCAGAGGTTATGTTGATGTTTAAAGAAAGTGGTTGCCAAGCAGCAAAGCCAGTTCCTCGCTGTAACAATAGATATCGTTATCGTACTATAGACGGTACTTGTAATAATCTTCGTAGGCCACTCCAAGGTTCAGCACATACTGCATTTAGACGATTGATACCATCAAGATATGAAGACGGTATATCAGATATAATTGGTAAGAGACAGTCTAACAGTAGGAGCATAAAGCAAGGCGGAGTCTATATTAGTAGTGGTCCATTTGATCCACCATATCCCAGTCCTAGGTTGATCAGTCAACGTATAGTAGCTCATGATTCATCTAATGAGCTGCCATTGACACACATGGTAATGCAATGGGGCCAGTTCTCAGATCATGATCTTGATCTTGCTCCTGAGCCAGAACGTGTCGAATGTGGCACTGCTTGTTAGAAAATGAT